ATAGATGCGCACGGAAAAAACAACTCATTTCCCGTGATTAGGGACCGGGTGAAAACTCGGAGACAAGAAACGATATCTCTGTCACCGTGACTGAGAACATTCCTGTAAACAGCTGCATTAAAATGCGGGGGGTAATTGACTGAATGGAAAACTCCTACAGAAGTCTTTCTGTTCCTATTATACAACCGAGTTTTCGCTTGGTCCTCAGACAACGGAAAATTCAGTCGCACCAACGGAATTGTTCTCTCCGTCCAGTAAGCCTTTAGCCTTCGCTCTAAGTAATAAACCGCATAGAAATTTTCCGAGATTTTCCCATATACAGGTTCCGATTGGAATGCTCAAAGTGGTCCGAAAATAAGAGTTACCTCATTATGGTAACAAATAAAAATCCAAGTCTTATTCTAAGTAAGAAGAGATCAGATGAAGCCTCTTTTCCGCGATGCTTTGGCTGTATGCTGCGGCTTTCTTCGTGCGATTTTCGTCGCTAAAGTCGAGTGACAGTTTGACCGAATTTATCAGATTAGAAAATGAGTAAATTGCATTATTTAATATATTTGTGATGTTATTATGCTTAATAGCGCGCGTGTGTACTTGCAAACATTTACAGAAAAATATTACTGGCTGATATAATTGGCTGATATAAGTGATAAATTATATTGTTCTATATAAGGTAAGTGTAAGTACTTCGAGTGTTTCATATATCTGGTTCGAACGTAATGCAAAATAGAAACCAGAAAAAATTTTTGGGAAAACGTCAGGGATGATTGAATAAAATCTGTTTATGTTTCCCACTTAGAATCGTATGTTTGAAATATTAAACTTCTAATCAGGACCTACATAAATTTCTCAACTAGAATCATTATTTTGGAAAATCGGGCTGGATCCCAATTGGACCCTACGAAATTTTCTACACGGAATGTAACTTCTAAGGAAGATGTAATTTCTAACAAAAGTCGTTTCCCGCGCTGTCAAACATCGTAGTAACGCTCAAGTTTCAGGAGTTGCGATATTCGATAACACTGGAGACACTTTTTACTAGAAATCACGGTTTCAATTCAGTACTTAGAACAAAAGGCTGAAGGCTTGCCATGCCCATTGTGGATCCAGTCTAATCCGCTGTGCGAGCGTGCTGGATGGATTTACCTGAATGTTGGCACAGGGTAAGCTTGCCCTTGACACAGCATCACAATGTGTGTGCCGGTGCGCCTTTCCATCAGGCTGCCCTTCTCCCCCAAAATCGAGGGCGATTTAGTGCCGACCGGCTCTATTGACGTACAAGACGCTTTAATTCGTGGAGGAAGGGTCGCGCGCAAAACCGAAAATTCAACGTTACCTAAAACTGGGCAGAGGGTAGCCCTGAGCCGGGCACGTCAGCACGACGCTGGTTCCCGTGATCTTCTCTTTCCAGCCGCGCTTCATCTCGCCGACCAGCGCCGGTGCTTTGCTCCCGATCGGCTCTGGCGATTCGGGAAACGAACGCGTTTCAAGCGGGATCGAGGGTAACCGCGCACGCTTCATATCCCGTTCGGTCTCGTCGCGATCGAATTATCGTCGGAGTATTTCGATCGAGGAAAAAACTAGCTCTTTGTATCGCATTCCAGTAACGAACAATGTCAAATTGTGAACGAAGTATGAAGAGCTTGCGCGGAGAAATGCAGAAGCCTGCATTCTGAGGAGATTTATGCGTCCCGAGCTTTAAAGTAATTTTACCTAAAATTGGGAACAGGGTGGCCCTGAGCCGGACAGAACAACACGACCGTAAAGCCCGCCCTTCTCTGCTTCCATCCACCCTTCAAGTCGCCCGTCAGTGCCGGCGCTTTGCTGCCGACCGGTTCTGGCGGGACAGAAGCCACCGCGAAATAAGAGAAAGTGGCGGTACAATGCGGGCTCGTTACAACTCGCGATGACATTACCTAAATGAAGGTACAGGATGTCCCTGCGCCGGGCACGACAACACGGCGCTGGAGCCCGCTCTCTTCTTCAGCCATCCCCCTCTTAACTCGCCCATGAGAGCCGGGGCTTTAGTTCCGATCGGCTCTGACGATTACAAACCATGCATGCGGCAAACCAAATGCAATTTCGCGAAATTAATTCTACGGATTATTCTCAATCTTGTTCTGCATTTTTTTGTTTGTTTGTTGACGATTCGATCGTTTGATTTTGGATGCAGAATTAATTTTAGAGAGAAATATATATACATATATAAGATATAGGTAGAATAGATGTTCAAAGTCGCGGATATAAGCTTGAAAAAAAGTGTTGGTTCCGTTAAGTCTAATTGCATATTTTTTTACTTTATGCTATATATTACCTAAAGGAGGGTACAGGATAGCCTTGGGCCGGACAAAACAACACGATAGCGGATCCCGCTCCGGTCTCTATCCATATGCCTTTTACGATGCCGGTTAACGCTGGCGCTTTACTTCCGACTGGCTCTAACAATTTATGCAACGATTGCTCAGCGAGCTGATATTTTTATCCATCGCGAATACTGGCTTGTATATAACCTTTCTGATGGGACGGGAGACCCCTTCGTTGGCAAGAAACGGAGTGGAAAATCGCGCGGTAAAAACGATGCGTAAAGATGAAACGTGAAACGGGGAAGATATAACTCGGGTTCATTCGCATAATCGTTCCGCGCTGCGCGTGGACGCGTTGAGTCTTTTATAGAATGTGCGAGAGTCTTTACCTAAAGGAGGGTACAGGATATCCCTGTGCCGGGCACGATAACACAACGTTGGATCCTGCGGTCTTTTCCAACATCACACCTTTCACATCGCCCATCAATGCCGGCGCTTTGCTGCCCATAGGCTCTGATACGTACAAAGAAACATGCGGTGAACAATAGCAAAATCGCCCAACGGAGACAGGGGACCCCTCTTCGAGTAGAACAGGATAACGCTATGAAATCAAGTCAAGCGTGTCGACTCATATCAATTTTAGAACAATCGACAGGATAATTTCTATAACAAGTAGTTTAAAGGGAATTCAATGTAAATATAAATGATTCGATTAAAATGAAAATCAATAGAAAATCAAAGTTGGACCGTAATTTGGGAAGGATTAACGAAGAATAGAATAAAATAGGATGGAAATGGTTAATGAAATTGATTACATGCCGACGGTGATTTACCTAAACGAGGGTACCGGATAGCCCTGCGCTGGGCAAAATTGCACTACGCTGGAAGCAGCCTCGCTCTCCATCCATCCGCCTTTCAAAATACCCGTCAACGTCGGCGCTTTGCTCCCGACCGGCTCTGACAATTTACAGATAGGGGCATGCTGTGAGAACCACATGGGTCTATTGCTGTATCTGAAGCTTTGATGCTTGTACATGTACCTATGCGTTGGAACTGGGAACCCCTGCGCGGGACAAAACAGAGTCAGATCGTCTCCTCGAATACGATCGTACCAAGCTAGCTTTGCGTCACTTGAAAATTTCGGCTTCTTCGTGGCAACTGGTTCTAATTACATAGTAGGAAATGAAATGAATCCTCTCGCAGGACTGTATCGAATTTCCGACGCGACAGATCTTAAAAGCGAGGAAATTCTACTAACCACAATGGAAATCGTTAAATATCAAGCTACTACTGTTAATACCTCACCATGGGAGTATCGAACTGCGAAAATACACATTAGAGTTTGAAGTCGGCAATAATAACGTAGCAATCTGATACCTGGTCACAGGAACAGGATGCCCCTGCGCGTTACATGGCATGCTCACTTCCGACCCGCGGTTACGAACGAAGGAGAACGTTTTAACGTCCCCGATAAATGCGGGCGCTTTGCTCCCCATTGGCTCTAAACGAGGAAATAAAGGACATCGACGTCACGAAAGATACGTATGCGCTTTATGCGGCTGAATACCCTCGGACAGGGTCCCCCTCGTCGGGCTTCGTCGCGCGATTATTTCGCCGATGTTACGTAACAGCGTAAATGCGAAAGAAACAGCCGAGTTTTCCTCCCGCTGCGGACGACAATTGATCGCGGCGTTGCAAATAACGTAAAAGTGCGACAAGTGTTTATACAAAGGGGAAAACTGTTTTGTTTCCTTCCAGTGTACTTGAGGTGTGCTTTAAAATCCTTTTAACCAGAAACTTCGAAACTTTCGCGTTGTTCGCAACAACTCGCGCCGGCAAGTTACCATTGCCCCAATGGTTCCGATGTTATTCGAATCCTTATTAAATGCTGTACCTAGACACGGGAGGAGGGTGGCCTTGGGCATTGCACGGAAGACTGACTTCTGCGTTCACTCCCCGCGCCAATAGAGATATCTTGGCCTCACCGGCGAAGGCAGGCGCCTTGCTTCCGACAGGTTCTAAGGGATATCGACTTGCCATTACACCGAATCCAATTTTCGCTCGCGCACTTTAAGCAGGGACAGGGCTTCCCCTCGACGACATCGAATTACAGCGCACAATTATTCTTTCGAGTTGGCCCTTTAATTTAAAAGGACTTCGTTTCTAAAGAGTATACGCAGTACACTGGGGAAAAATGTTATTTGGAATCTTTTAACGGCATGGTTGAAAGATCATAGTCAAGAAAACTATGAATATAGTAAATGTTATTATAATGTAAATTGTAATTACGATATAGGTATAGAGCGTGACGAACCCAAGTAGATTTTTCACCATGAATATTATAATGATTTTAAATATAATTAAAGTAGCAAATATACGGGATGGTAACAGAAATTGATAATTTTATACAGTCAACACGTAATCGTAATAAATAACAAACAATACTACATGTAACAACATTCTTAACAAGTGTCTTTAACTATATTCACGCATATAAACAGTTGAGGCCAAAATTGTGAAATATAATGAAATTATAATTACTCCGATTAATTTTTCCTCTCAGTGCGTCCTTTTTCTTTTTAACAGAATAAAACTTAACCGTTTCCCCCCTCCACCGGGGTTAATAATAATGCCGCTTTTCAATCGCCTTCTTTTGCAGTCTTATCGGTTATTATCCAGTAATAATGATAAATCTCGTACCTAGATACTGGAGCAGGATGGCCCTGAGCGTTACACGGCATACTAACGTCCATGTTCGCTCTTCGCACCAAGAGAGACAATTTTGCATCTCCCGCAAAAGCGGGCGCTTTGCTTCCAACGGGCTCTAAAGAACGTTTCAGTGCATTTAGATTGTCTGTCTCCCTCTCTCGCATATTCTCGCAGCGGGAACAGGGTTTCCCCCTCGAAAACGAAGCTCGACCCTAGTGAATCGATATAATCGGCTTGGTCGTTTTCGGATTTAACTCCGAGCCGAACGTAAAACACACCTCCACTACGAAATCTTTATCCGCCTTTGTCAGTCGAGAAACTAAGAGCCATTACCTAGTGGTGGGCACAGGACTTCCTTGAGCGGCACAGAAAATACTAATGGGTTGTCCTTCGTGTCTTCCGATTGTACGACTTAAATCGTCCGACGTTAGCCTAGGCGACTTGACGCCTATCGGCTCTGCAATCGACGGAAATTGGAATCACGCGTTAGAATCTCTTATGCGAGATTACCTGGCAATTGGAACGGGATATCCCTGAGCGTTGCAGGTAAGCACCACGCCCCTACCCATACGCCTAGCATACGCGCTAAGAGTATTGTCGGTGGAGAAGATCGGTGATTTAAATCCGATTGGTTCTACAAGAAATAATGCAACCGGAACGATCAATCGTACCGCACATGGCAAGTCGAAAAGTCATCAACAACGATCAAGCATGATGAGGTAAAATAATCGATTAAAGAATTAAGTGAAAAAAATGTTCAGCGAGAAAAACCGATGATAAACCGGTGATTCGACATCGCTTTAGTTGAGAATTCTGACCGTTCCAGTGTGACAAATACATACTCAAAGATATCTTCGGGTCTCACCTTGAAATTGGAACAGGGTAACCCTGCACGGGACACATCAGATTCGTGGCATCGCGCAACTTAGCTTCCATGAACTCAAGTCTACGTACACTCGGCAGTTTGGGTTTCGCGCTCGACGTGGGCTCTAAGAGGTGCACGAGGAGGACAAGCATTGTTAGGCACGAAAACTGGTACTGACCGTGTAATGGGGACAGGGAACCCCTGAGCGGGGCAAGTCATTGACACCGCGGTGGAGCTCGGCGTCGGTCTCACCACTTTTATGTCGGCGTTCGTGAACTTTGGTTTCGCGCTGGACACCGGCTCTATATTGCGGAAATATTAGAACGTCACACGTGTCAATATCGTATGACACGCTTCGAACGCTGGGACCGGGTATCCCGACATAAAACCGGAGACAAGGCTCAGCGAAATGCCGTAAAAATACTTTTCAAGCGCTGAATACGAAACGCCAAAAGTATGTAAAATGTATTTTTATATTGATGTAAGAAAAATAAACTCTGTATAACGATGTCTTGTACGTAACATTATAAATTTTAAAATAAGAAATTAAAATTCTTCGAAGAATTTTATACGGAATGTAAAGATACACTGAGGGAAAAGAATAGTTGGAGGATAATTATAATTTCACTACACTTTGTAGTCAATTTTGGCCTCAACTATACGTTTATAGTTCTTTCGAGCATGCAAAATATAGCAAAGTGAAGATTATAGTCGTAAACTGCGACATTCATTCGTGCAAATATATCTTCTGGTTGCCATGAACTAAAATGAAAATGAAATGTACTATAAAATATAATTACAACAAAAAATCATACGTACTCATATTTCTGAATAGGAAATTTATTATTATTTTTTTTAACTATGTTGTTTTTAATGTCTTATAGCGAATAATCATCAGCCTGAAATATTATTTATCAGCCATTTTATACTATACTGCGTTTGAAAAACACGCTTCTATGGTGGGATTCGAACCCGAAACTTCCGGCTCGTAAGTCACGCTTGTTGCATGAATTAAAAAAGAATACTGCCCATCTCTTCGAAGGGAGGTGAAAGACGATGGTCGTTCAATTTCAGAGTCGGCGGGAACTCGAGAACAGACCACGGCGTAAGAATTAAGCCGGATCTGAATGCAATTTGAATAACAAGGACGCGATTAAACCGGAAGGAAGAATCGATGGATACCCTTTAATATCCACTTTCCCCCGCGATTGCTCTTTCACTCCGCGTCGTAACCGTATACTAGCCGGCGGTAACACATACAGATACAATCTCTACACGTTTGACTGTTTGATATACCTGTAATTCGGTACGGGGAATGCTTGAGCTGGACATGGCAAGGTCAGAGGTTGCTCACGGAGAACCATATACGCTGTGTAGGTACGAGAGTTCTCTGTCATTGGAAATTTCGGTTTCGTACTGGCAACCGGTTCTACAAAAGAAGAATCAGACTCGTGAAGGCTCGGTCTCTCGGTGAACGAGTCAATCGCGTCGCGATTGCCAGACAATGAATCGCAAAACATACCGCGGACTTACGATCGACAACGTCGACGAGAAACCTGGAAATAAGGGAAATCGTAGATTGTCGGCAATTACCGCAAAGCCCGCGGACTTTTTTCCCTTAATGTTTCCTTAATATTCGAGAAACCCTATAACTGCGGGACAGGGTAACTCCACGCTACGGCGATTAGATGCGTTATATCGGCTATCTGGCGCTCGGCAACCGTCGTGAAACACAGGGGAAGATAATCACCTGCCATGACGTGTCCTCGATGATTTCACCCAGCGTCACGATCAAAGACCACCCCCGAAACGGCCGGGGAGGATGGACGAATATGGAGTTAAGGAGCAATTTACCTGAATGCTGGCACGGGGAACCCTTGAACGGGACACAATAGGGTCGCGATGGAGGCCAATATCGCGTTCGGATTCGTCGATTTCACGTCCAGTGCCGTTAATTTCGGCCTCGAGCTCGACAACGGTTCTACGTCACACCAGAAATACACACACGGGCAAATACCGAATCGCACGGCCTAAGGATATCGATCATCCCTGGGGCGCTTCAGCCGGTGAACTTACTTGAAGACTGGGACGGGATACGCCTGGGCGGGACATTGCAATGTCAGACCTTGAGCTTCCGCGATCTCGAAAGTGCGGCTTTTATCGATAGTCGAGAACTTGGGTTTCGCAAAGCCGACCGGTTCTACAAATTAAACTTGCAGTCAAAAGCGAAGTCGATATCTCGCTGATTAATTTAGAATTATTTCAGTGCTTTAAATCACAGTCAAGCTTTGTGCCGAACTTCCTCTTCCTCAGAGATGCAAATTATAATAAAAACCGCGTCGTAAAAAAATATTTCATGAGAAAACGAGAGGTTTAATGATAAAATATCTTCTACTACAAATTTTTTTAAACGTTTACAAAAACTTTCGTCGTCGACTACTTAAAAGCTGATATTAACGGGATTCTGCGCAAAAAAATCGATACTGGGACAGGGTAGTATCCTTGGGGAGAAGAAACCCTCGGATATCCCCCCATCGTATCCTACTTAGCTCACAATAACAATAGGAGATCGATTAATACATCGACCTACCTATACGTGGCGACTGGGAATGCTTGAGCCGGGCATAGCAACGTAAAGCCCGTATCTTTTGTAACACGTAGCCCAACGTCGTTTACAGATGGAAACTGAGGCTTGGTGCTCGACGCGGGTTCTAAAAACAGAACGCTAGACAGTCCGATATGCACAAAGCCGGCGGCGCCGAGTTATTTTAAATATGCTGGAATAGGGTTCGCCCCTTTCGCCAAGATCGATGAGCGACTTTGCGTCGATAACGAACCAAAGATCTCGTCGATGCAATCTACTGTAGAAGCAAATATCGCGATATTGATACTGCGACGTTTCGTAATTACAACCAATAAAAATCTGAGATAAATCATACGGAGGAAAATAATTTAGAGGGATGGCAAATTTTGTGCTGTTGTGGCGAATAAATGAATACGCAGGATATTTTTAATGTACGAATTTTTTCGGAGTTGATTTTTGAGATTTATTTTATGAGGAGAAATTCGTATGAAAATTTGCTTTTTTCTTATAAAATAACCTCAACGACCGACTCCTAAAATAATGGACGGTAGTTTAGAAACACCATGTATATTTATTTGCTACAACAGAATAAAAATTTGCTGAATTATTTTTCCCTTCGCATATGCTAAATTCGCTTAGTTGAGGAAATCATCTTTCCTAAGGATATCAAGTCTAATCGAGGCACGGAAAAGTAGACTTCACGATTCGACTTCACAATCCCCTCAAAAAATACTTAATTATTTATTCACGCCTACCTATAGAAAGGAACTGGAAATCCTTGAGCAGGACAAAGAAGGGTAACGCTTCTCAGCGAAGAGACACTAAATCGCTGAAGATCACTCGAGCCGGACAATTGCGGGCGCGTGCTGGATGCTGGTTCTGGTATTGGGAAACATCATCTTTCACATGAGAAGAAAGAAGTCTTTACCTGTGCGATGGGACGGGGAACCCTTGGGCAGGACACAGCAGCGTCATCGCACCGCCAAGATACATTTTGAACGTCTGCGAGTCCGCCAATGAGGGGAATTTCGGGCGAGCGCTTGCGACTGGTTCTACGAAAGTTCGAACGTACCGAAGAGATTGCGCGGGAAATGTTAATCGTACAATTAGTCAATTTTAATTGCTTATAATTTAAAAAATATCGCAGCTTCACCACTTTCGTGGCTTAAACTTTCGTTTTAGAGTGTCCCGGAGAATCTGTCATGTTCAGGACATACGTACATATATATACATAGTTCTCGTACATACGTACATAGTTCTGAGGTACCCTGTATAATTGAGTGAATGAATAATTCATGCAATTTAATTTAATTCAATTATTTTATCTTATATAATTAAATTTACGTATAACTGAACGTTAATAAAAAAATCCTATATAGTTTACATGTTGTGGTTTATATACGGATTCTATATACATGGGTATTAATCGATCGTACCATTGGAAATTTAATTTACGCGAATTTGAATTTTACCAAAGTCGGAAGAAAAAGAAGAAAGAACAGGGCGTGCAACCGCGTAATCCGTCCGCAATTTCCTCCCTCGTCTTTTCTCCGTTATTCCGCATCGCAGTCGTGCACCGGCCGGAATATGATCGTTCTATAGCGCGCATTCATTTTCTTATGACATGGGCTTTTTGTGTACCTGAAAGCTGGAACGGGGAAGGCCT